GCTCCTGGCCTTGCCCGGGTCAGCGTTGCTCTTGTTTGCTTCGCTGTTCGCCCTCTTTTCCAATCCTGCTCTTGTGCTGCTGGCTACACTGACCTGTTTCTGCTAAGTTGAGGGGGAGAGACCTTAGAGAGGTCTTCAGAGCCATTCCAGTAGCGTTTTGAGCCAAGCCAATGCTTCCAGGGGTACAAGGCAAAGCTGTGAGCACTGCGGAGTGCCTGAGGGGTTAACAGGGGATGAGAGTGAAGGAGTGATAAGGTGGCACCTGAAGGGGGTTTGGCTGAGCTGCTTGGGCAGTGCTATTATCATCGGGGGGGGGGGGGGGGGGTGTCATATTGGAATGGGGAAGGCAGGACTGCATTGTGGAAATCAATTGTAATTGAATTGTAATTAAAAGTTCGATAAGGGAACCCCATTCAAGCAGTATTCTTGGCTGCTTTTCTGCGAGTCGGTGTCTTGCTCATTTCCCGTTCAGTTTTGCTTCCACAATGAGCCACTCCCTGCAGCAGAGGTTCTCAGCTGCCGCTAAAGGGCAGCACTTGGTCTATAGATAACCGAGGGTACAAGGTTCTCTGTGTTCTCTTCCACCCTGTGTGTGAGCCTGGTGTTTGGGCAGACAGCCATACACAGCCCTGCCTTCCTGCTTACTGTGTTGGGGAGCAGAATGCTTGGTTTTATCCATAGCCTCTTATGAAGGCACTTTGTCAGTCATCCAATTTCTTTGGCACAGGGTGGAATCACAAGGATTGATTTGCTTTGTTGTTACCCTCCTTTGCTGTCCCAGTCACAACTCATGCTGAGCTATGATTTACCATCTTTACTCTTTGCTGAGGGCAGCACTAAACCGCTTGTGTGACTGTGGTCATTGAGGCAAGTGCCTTTCTGTCTCAGGGCCTTGGTTTCCTTCTCTCCTTCCTTATTCTCTTCAATCACAAGAGACTTCTAGTGCTTATTTAGCTGGAGGTCCTTGAACGTGCTTAACCAACAGATGCTTCCACCACAGGAGTGTTTATTTCTTGATCTATGTCTTCAGCTATTTTGATTTCCCTGCTAAAAGCCACTGTTCCTTTTTCTGTCCTGCTCTAGCCAGATAGTGCCTCTTCACCAAATTCCTTCCTCCAGCCCTGTGACTCATGAGCTGTCCTTCCCTCAAGCCCTTAGCAGCACACTGCCCTGCTGTTCCAGTGTTGCTTGGGGTGGGAATGAAACATAAAGGGCACACTCTCTTCCCACAGCCTCCATCAGTGGAGACACGGGGGTGATCCATGTGGTGGAGAAGGAGGAGGACCTGAACTGGGTGCTGGCTGATGGCCCACACCCACCCTACATGGTCCTGCTGGATGGGAACCTCTTCAACAGGTTGGTCATTGTCAGTTTTTATCTTCCCAGGGTGATGGGAGCCCACAAGAGCAATGTGGATCCCTGACGTGGTGATGGAAGCATCATTTTTCAAGTGATAAGTGGCAGAATCAGCCCTGACTGACTGAAGTGTAGTGACATTGAAATATTTGTGGGTTTACTGTGGGTTAAAGAATTGATTTCTTCTTAAAGAGGCTGCTTTGCTGTTAGAGCTCTGGTCTGTGCCAATTCCTATGCCACATACATCACTGCAGCAGTTACAAAAGTTCATTAAACAACATGATTAAGATTGGTCACTTCTCTTCTGGGCAGAGCAGGAAGGAAGGAGCTGAACTTCTCTGCTTGCTGCAGAATTCATTGCTGAATTCATCATTTCAGTTGTATCTTCTTTCTTCCAGGAGGGTAATGCAGCAGCTGAAGGGAACCTCACGAGTGTCTGGCCTTGCAGTGGCCATCACCAAGCCAAGCCCTCCCCAGGGATTCTCTCCTGGTTTGAAGTGCCCCAATGATGGGTTTGGTAAGGAGATGTTAAGTCTTTATCCTTGTTGGGGGGAAGAAAACTGGTGCTTTTGTGTTGTGTGGGCCAAGAGGTAAAAAGGATAGCTGAAATTGCAGCTACATGTCAATATCAAAATAGTGTTTAGAAGAACAGGCTCAATATGTTCTTTTCAAGTAGTTGGTGTGAGCTGGAATCTCATAATTTCCCAACAAGAGCTGGGGCAGGAGTTCAGGGGAAGACAAACAAGTGTTAAACCCGACCAAGGCTTGTGGTAACTTTGTTTTTAACACATGAAACTTGTACTTTGTCCACACCTGATCAGTAAAGCGTCTTGTGTTGGCATAGATGTGTGGAGTGTGCATGAACTTCTGTGTCCTGGCCAGTTTCTGCTTTCTAAAATGACACTGTGCTTCTCTGAATTCCCCCTGTGCTCTCTCTTAGGTTTTCATCCCACTATTTCTTCATGCAGCAAATTTGCTCTGTTACATTTTGCACTTTGAGGGGAGAAGTTGCTCCACCTTCTGTAGTTCACACACAGCTTTCTGCTGCACAGGATGCCCTGTCCCCTCCTGAGATGACTTTGGTATGCTGGCATTTGTCCTGTCTCTGCCTCCACGCTGTTTGTGCCACATCGAGGTGTTCATGTGGCAGCCACATTACAACTGCCACAGGGTTACTTCCAGCACATGATGAGCTCAGACACTGTGGGTTTGTATGTTCCTCCTTTTGAAGTAGAATGTTCCTCTGTGTGCCTCCTCCACTGTCTCAGCAGGTGATAAATGCTCTCTGAGTTCTCCTGCCAGCCTCCTGGCATGGGATGGCTCTGAGCATGCACGTTCCTCATCCTCTCAGCGTGGCACAATGCTCTATCTCTGCCACTCGGCTACATGCAGTGACCAGCTCCATCTCTCCAAGCTATTATCAGCTGGTTCCTCAGCCCATAATGCTGCTCATTCTGGATTTGCTGCTATTCTCTCAGCAGGCCCTACCTCTCCTGCAGTCTTTTGTTCTCTTGCAGCCTCAGATTTGCCCATTTCTTTTCTGTTTCCAGGTGTCTATTCCAAAGACTATGGCCCTCAGTTTGCACACTGCAATAACACCGTGTGGAATCCTGTGGGGAGTGGGCTTTCGTATGAGGATTTTGACTTCCCTATTTTTCTCCTCGAAGATGCCAACGAGACACAAGTTATTAAGCAGGTACTTCCTCAGTGAGCAGGAGAGGGGAACTGCTGCACAGCTTAGGAAAGGGGGCACAAGTTTTGTTTTCTCTCAGCTTAGATGTTGAAATGTGGAGTAAAAAGACATCTGATTTTCTGTGCAGGACACAGTGCTATTGCAGAAAGGTTCATTTTGGAATGATTTTTATTTCCATCCAGTGTTATCAAGACCATAATGTCCCTCGTGATGGATCTGGCCCTGAGTACCCTCTCTGTGCCATGCAGCTCTTCTCCCACATGCATGCTGTCACCAGCACTGTCACCTGCATGAGACGCAGCTCCCTCCAAAGCACCTTCAGCATTAATCCAGGTGAGCAGATGCCTTTTATGTGTTGTTCCCCCCAACAATGTCCCTTATATAATCCCCCACCCCCCTGACTGCCCCTTATATTCCCTCCCTCCCACAGCCCCTCATTTCCCACCTTTATACCTCTTCCCCTTAATTCACCCCTTCACTGCCTTTATTTATTCCCTCCCCCCATAAGGCTGGTGCTAAGAATCCCAGGGGAATACAGTTGTGTAAAAGAAAGGAAATTTGGGAGTGTGTACATGCACTGAAATCCTGCCCCCTGCCAGTGGCTTTCCTGGGGCCAGGACTTCACCCCTGTGGAGCAGAAACTCATAGATCCACTGAGCTGACCAGAAAGCTCATTTCCCACTGTCACTGCTGTAATCTCAACTTGGACAATGATTTTTTCCTGATTCCTAGAGGTTGTCTGTGATCCTCTCCTTGATTACAACGTGTGGAGCACCTTGCAACCTATTAATTCCTCTGGGAAAGTCGATCCTGAGAAGGAAATTATTATTGTCGCCACACGAGTAGGTACCTCCTGATCCTGCTTTGTAGAGCATGGAATAGGATTCTGGAAAGATGTGGGCTTTGAGTCTTATGGGAACATACTTCTTTTACATAGGTTCATTTCTTCCCATCTTCCAAACCTTTTAGGCCTTGCTGGCTATTGTGTTTCTGCAAGTACAAGCCTTTTAGTTGATGGGTTTACCTATTTTTTTTGTTTCAACAGAAGGACATCTGCATTTTGCTGCTGTCTTGCGTGAGGCTTTTCTCAGTGTTTTGTTCACTGATGGAACAAGACAAATAGCAATAGCATGTCTGTTGGGCTTTCCTAAGACACTTCACACTCTTACAAAGTGTCACAGAGACAGCATGGTTGGCTCATCTGTATTTTGGGGGGGGGAATGAGTCACATGGAGATTTTGTTGTGTGACAGGCAGTGAGTCAGTGTGAGAGCTGAGAATGAAGTTCACTTCCCCATCTAGCAGTTGGTTTACAGTCACTTTCCAAGCTCCAGTTCAAAACTCCTTTTTGTCACCATCCTGGGGCCTTGTGCTGGAACGGGGTGGATGTTGGCATTAAGATGACACCACACTCACTAACCTCTGTTTTCAGGACAGGGCTCTGAGGCCTCAGGACTGCCACAGCAATGCTGTTGGTATTTTAAGTTTCATTAAGCAGGGTGCTTTGGTTCTTCCCTTATCAGTAGGATGAGGGGGATAGGAGTGGGGTGATAGATTTGCTCTCCAATGCTCTATTCTTCTGTCTATGTTCACATTTCTTACGTTTCCTGTTTGTGCTTCCAGATTGACAGCCACTCCTTCTTCTGGAACATTGCACCCGGGGCAGAGAGTGCTGTCTCTTCTTTTGTGACCCACTTGGCTGCTGCTGAAGCCCTTCACAAAGCATCAGATGTTCATTTACTGCAAAGGAATATAATGTTCACCTTCTTCCAAGGGGTAAGAGCTATGGCATTGCTCCACCATTTGGCTTGTTCCAAGAGATCAAATCAGCCCTTGGCTCCCTGCAAATGAACTTTTACCCTACTCTTTGTGCAGAGTCATTTGTCTGCATCCCCACACCGTGCTTCTCTCTGCTCCCCCAGTGAGAACAGGATCTTAATTGCACTGGGATAACAACAGCAGATGGAGCTTCCAGTGGGGGCAATGGTATTCTGCCCCACAGTTCATTTTGGATGAATGACTCGAACTTTGCTTTCCTCCTGTCTCTTCCCAGTGTGCCTGTCTGTGTGTCTGCTCCCTGCCTCACCCCCATTAGGGATGAACTGCAGTGGCCAGGCTTGAAATTCTGAAATGAAGCCCAGAAAAGGGGTAGATTAAAAATATATGTGTTGACAACAGCGAAATGCAGCTCATTTCTGAGAGCCCAGCACTGGAGTTGGCAGCTGTGGAAAAGCAGAACAAGCGTGGGGAGGAGGGACTGATGGCCAACAGCTGATGTTCCCCTCAAGGCATCTACACACTGATGGCTTCTTTTGTGCAGCTTTGTGAAAGTGGCTCCCACAGCCCCATGCTGTGGCTGTGTGATTCCCTTCATTCACCCTCCTCGGTACATCCAGCCCTGGTCACGATTTCTCTGGGGGAGACCCAGCAGACGGAGGGAATGGACATTCTCTGTCATGCTCCCAGAATGGAGGGGGGATGAGAAGACTTGACTGTAAATTAGTCAAGGGGAAAGTCTCGTGACTGCCTCTGACTTCATTGCCTGTCTTTGTCACGGGGATTCTCTTAAGGGCAGCTCTTCTTCCCCAGCTCCTTGCAGCTCCCTTGACAAACTTATCCAGCCTTCACTTCCTTATTTTTTTAGGGGAAACAGACACCCCTCTTTCAGGAAAATGTTTAATTCCTGGAATGGAGAATTCCCTTTTTCTCTGACTTGCTGTACTCCTTGCTAAAAACCAAAGAGGATGGCTTATGCCAGAGTAAAGGCTGTGTTAATGCTTCTCTGCTGTTACAGTAACAGTATCTCGCTAGATATCAGTGCTCACTTAACTCTGACTTGGCCTCTGGGCCAAGTTTGTGGAATTCAGTAGCTGTCCCCTGGGTTTTTTTGCTCAGTGCCTTCCTTTTTCCCCTTTGCTTCATCCCTTTCCTACAACATACCTTTGTGTTTGGAGCCAGGCACAATGGAATATTTACTTTGGTTTTCCAGTGTGTCGCAGCCTATGTGAACCTTCAGAAACACTTAGGGCAGTAGTTGCCCCTCAAACTCTTGGGTTTGGTCCCCCTCAGCCTCTCGGATATTGCTGGTAGTTGCCCCAGGCACATATCCAGGTGATTCCTGTGTGACTGGATTTTCTTTTCTGTTGCAGGAAACCTTTGATTACATTGGCAGCTCACGAATGGTGTATGACATGGAAAAGGACAAGTTTCCTCTCCGCTTGGACAACATTCATTCATTTGTGGAGTTGAATCAGGTGTGGGATAACTCAGGGGACCTTTTTATTCCCTCTTTCTCTGTGATAATTGAGCTGGGCTTTTCCCAGCCAGCCTTTTACTGGGTTTGATTTTTCCCTGGACTGAACTTGCCTCCTCTGCAAGACTCAGCCATATACTTATGGTGGTTTCGTTTTCTTCCTGAAGGTGGCTCTGAGGAATGACTCTGTTTTATGGATGCATACAGACCCTGTCTCTCGAATGAATGAATCTGTTGATGTACAGGTAACGGAAAGCAATCTGTGTGGTTGATCTTTAGCACATTGCAGATGATCAGGATGTGGATCTTTGTGGATCTGCTGGAGCGAGGCCAGAGGAGGCCATGGAGATGCTGCGGGAGTTGGAGCAGCTCTGCTCTGGAGGCAGGCTGAGAGAGCTGGGCTGGGTCAGCCTGGAGAAGAGAAGGCTCCAGGGAGACCTTAGAGCAGCTCCAGTACAAGAAACCTGAGAGGGGCTTTGGGCAAGGGCTTACAGGGACAGGACAAAGGGGAATGGCTTGAACTTGCCAGAGGGGAGGCTGAGATGAGCTCTGAGGCAGAAGCTCTTCCCCGTGAGGGTGCTGAGGCGCTGGCACAGGGTGCCCAGAGAAGCTGTGGCTGCCCCATCCCTGGCAGTGTTCCCGGGTGGGACAGAGGGGCTGGGAGCACCCCGCTCTAGTGGAAGGTAGCCCTGCCTGTGGCAGGGGCTTGGAGCTGGAGGAGCTTTAAGGTCCCTTCCAACCGAAACCATTCCATGATTCTGTGATGTTAACCTTTCCAGAGAAATAACACATCCAAAAGGGCAGCAGAACAGTGCTGGTTTCTCTTCTTTCAGGTTAGAAACTTGCTGGGTATCCTGAAGAACAGCAGCCTGGGAGCAAATGTGACTTTGCAGGAAGCTGGATTCTCACAGCCTCTTCCCCCATCCTCCTTCCAGCGCTTCCTTCGGGCCCGGCACATCCCTGGAGTAGTCCTGACTGACCACAGAACCACCTTCCAGAACAGGTACTTGCTTCTCCAGGCTCGGCAGGGCCAGGCTGGCCTCTAGCCAAAGGCAGTGGTGCCAGCAGAGGGCACCTGAGCTCCTGCAACATGCATGTGTGCTCCTGCAACATACATGTGGAGCAGCACAGGGGGAGAGAGGAGCAGACATGTGCCATGTCATTGAACAAGCACAACATAATTATTCTGACAAGCGAAAGAAATCCAGTTTTGTACAGAAAATGTTCCCCACAGCTGGCTGGAAGCCAGAGGTGAGCAAATGGCAACTGAGCGTGCCTAAGCCTCATCTGTTCTTCCAGCAGCTAGCTGCCTTTTTTTTGTTGTTTTTAATACAGCTTTCTATTTGCAATGGCAAAAAGCCCCAGGCATTGGAAAGAGCACTTGCATTCACCCCACATGACCCTACTATGGTGTGTTGCTTGGAAGACCCCCTGCTCTGCTTCAACTTTGGAGTGGGAATGTGGGGTAGAAGATAGAAATACTCCTCTCTCCTCTTCCCTGAACTCTCCAAATTGTCCCTTTCCCTCCATTTTCTAGTCTTGCCTGCTGTCTCTGAGACTTTTGGTAGCAATCAAGGGGAAATAGCTTCCCTTTCACCTCTAAATCTGCACTGCTTTAAAGGGGTAAGAAGACCTAAGCTGGGGGAAAGCACAGCTTGCTGCTGTGGGACCTGTGTTTGGACTGGAGATGTCAGGTGCATAGACCATGTGTTGGGTTTTTAGCCCAATTCCCAGTTCAGCTGCGTGTGCCTTGGTGGAAATCTCTCCCGGAGCTCACTTGGAATTCCTCCCGGAGCTCACTTGGAATTCCTCCCTGCCTTCAAGATAGGGCATTAATAAAATCCACTGGCACGACTTGCAGCAGAAGCCCTTTTCCCAGGAGCTCTTGTGCACGGGCTGTCCTTGCCTCAGTTTCTCTACCCATTTAATAGCTTGGGCTGTTGCCCACCTGAAAGCTAATCACAGCCTGTAAATTGCTTGGAGATCTTCAGATGGGAGAAGCTGTGGAAGGGCCAAGTTCATTATAAAGCCTCATTAAATGCTTTAAGGAGTGTGTGGCAGGGCAGTGCTTTGGCAGGGCTGTCTCTCTTGCTCCCAGGAGACTGCTCCCACTGTTTGCTTTAGGCACACTCTGAATTGAATTCCATGCCCTGTGGTTTCTTTCTGCTCCTCCCCAACCTCTGTTTGCCTCTTTCTTTGCAGATACTACCAGAGCATGTACGACACTCCAGAGAACATACAGATGCAATACCCTGAGGGGCTTAGCCCTGAGAAGACCTTGGAGTATGTCACTGATACAGCCAAGGTTCCTGCTTCCCATTTTCTTTAGCTGCTGTACCTGGGTCAGATGGAGCTTTGGGTAGGGGTGGATAGAAGCAGGCTCATGGGGAGGAAAGCTATTTCCAAAAAGGGCAGAAAGAAGGTGGGGAGTGCTTTGTACAGTGACAAAGGCAATAGCTACTCAAATGCTAGCATGATGTGAGGGTTTTGATGGATGTGTAGATCTTGGCTTGCTCTCCTGCGTATTTTGCTGGATCTGCCTATCTTGGTTAACACAGAGCACTCTTCCTTTGCAGTCCCTGGCAGAAGTTGCCACAGTGGTCGCCCGTGCTCTCTACCACCTTGCAGGGGGAGCCAACACCACCTCTGCTGTTCAGGCAGATCCAAAAACGGTATGAGCAGATGGGATTGAGTCCCTGTCATCTCTGATGAGCCCTCACGTACTTTCCTTCTGTCTCTGTTTAGATGTGTTTACACAGCATGCTGTCCTGTCTGCCTCAGTGAGGGCTTTAACTCCCCTCTCTGCTCTTTCCTCACCACAGCTGAGTGAAAACCCTTTCACCCCTCTCTACTTCCTCACCTGATCTCAGGGCAGACATTAAGTTTCAGGAGCCCTCTACAAAACAGAGCTCCTTTATCCTTGTCCCACAGAGCAGAAGAATAACCTGAGGTGAAATGGCAGTGTGTGCCACAGGGATCAGCTCAGGAGTTGCTGGAGCTGGAATCAAACCCAATTTTCATAGCTTATATGAAATCATATACAGTCGTGACATACAGCTTCTCCTTTGCTGTGCTCTTGGCCCCTGTAGGGGGAAACATCTGTGAGCCAAATAATCTTGAGAGATATAGCTGATGAGAGGCTATTTTCATTCCTCTTTGTATAAAGCAGTTTCCATCTCTTCCCAGGTCTCTCGAATGCTGTATGGCTTTCTGATTAAAATGAACAATTCCTGGTTTCAGTCCATCATTAAACCAGACTTAAAAGGAATTCTGGGTAAGAGCAACACAGGGCAGAAGAATAGGGTCTGGGTTTGACCCCATATGTTACCTGGCAGCTTTCTAAAATGCCACATTTGTCTGCTCCTGGCCATCTCCCCGCCATTCCCTCTTCTCCGACTGCTCCAGGTGATGTTCCCCAGCACTATGTCGCTGTTTCCAGCCCTGTGAACACTACCTACCTTGTGCAGTATGTCCTGGCCAACCTCACGGGTACTGTTGTTAACTTCACCAAGGATGAGTGCCTGAACCCTGAAAAATCACCCAACAGTGAGACAGAAGTAAGTAGCCATTAGAGAGACATTGGTGACAGCCAAGCTTTGGTGGTTTCTGCTTTTGAGGAAAGCTGCCTAGGAATGCTTTCCATTGCTCGTAGTAACATGGGAGAAGTGGGAAACTCCAGCAGGGAGGCATCCTAATGCCCAAGGGCAGAGGAAGAGCAGGGCTAAAAGATCCCCTTACAGCGAGAACAGGCAGTAAGTCTCTTTCTCTCTCCCCAGAGGCACAGGTAAGGTTTCAGGACAAGGGGACAGTGGTTATTTGGTGGCTGTTTCCTGTCTCTTACTCTGCTGTTTTCATTGCAGATGTATGACTATGCCTGGGTGCAGGGTTTCCTGGATCCCAACTCGACATCCCGAGTCCCCTACTGTGTTCGGTCAACTGTTCACCTAAGCAAAGCACTCTCTCCTGCCTTTGAGCTGAGGCAGTGGGGCTCTACAGAGTATTCCACGTGGACAGAGAGTCGGTGGAAAGAGATCCGGGCCCGAATATTTCTGGTTGCCAGCAGGGAGCTAGAGGTGAGTTTGTATATGTCTGAAAAAGAAAGCAGAGGAAAAGATATGACTGGCTTTAAAGAGCACCTCCTGACTGCTGGAGAAACAGCTCAGAGTTTGTTACAAGATCTTGTGGGAGCTTCTCTTTTAAGAACAGGCTGTGATCCTGGAAAAGGAGGTGACCAAAAACGTATCGCTGGTGATCATCCTTCCACCTCTGGCTATTTGAGGGTTAATAACAGAGTCACTGGGACTGAGACTGTGCAGAATAATTAAGAGTCCCATGAGCAGGCTGAGCTCTGTGAATAAAAGATAGAGGCATGGGAGTTTTAACCCCTTCTCCAGGCACAGGGAGTCAAGCCAGTGAATCTGGCTGTTGTTTTCTCTGATACATGACCCAGATTGTCCTTCCTGCCCTTTGAATCACCTCTTAACAGCAGAGAAATACGTCTTCAGTAACCTTCACAAACAAAAGCTGGTGGTGGTTCAGTGTCTCAGGTTCTAAGCAGCCCTTAGCTGGGTGTGATGTGGATTAAGTGCCAGCAGAATAAGAGTTAAGCATACAGTCACACTGGGACACTGTGCCTGTTTTGATGCCCTCTGGTTGGCTAGTAATGATGTCAGACAGTCAGGACAGCCTTAGGAGTGCACAGGATGGCATCATCATGGCTTAACAGTAAGCCACCCAAAGGCCATGCAAGCCCAGGCAGTTGTTGCATCTCTCTGGTGGTTATTTGAAGTCTGAGCAATTTAGTTCTGTGGCACTGGGCCTTTTGAATGCTGCCAGGCAAGCCCAGAGCCCTGCCTGTGGCTTGGCGTGTTACAGGCCAGCAGGCACTGGTGCCCTGGAGATGCAGTTTGACCCTAACCATTCCCAAAGTGTTGACCTGATAGAAGAGGTACTGAGAGAGTTCTAGTGACTGCTCTGTGGGGTCTGTTCTGAGGTATCCCCATCCCTGGTAGTGTTCAAGGCCAGGCTGGACGGGGCTTGGAGCAACCTGCTCTACTGGAAGGTGTCCCTGCCCATGACAGTGGGTTGGAACTAGATGATACTAAGGTCCTTTCCAACCCAAACCATTCTATGATTCAAGGCAAATTCTGTGAGGTATTGCAGGATTGTGTTTGTAACAACAATGCTGAGTGTTTCTTCTCCCTTCCTAGATAATCACTTTGGTTGTGGGCATTGCCATTCTGGTCTTCTCTCTCCTGGCCACCTATTTCATCAACGCCAAAGCAGATGTACTGTTTAGCATCCCCCGGGACCCTGGGGCTGTGGCTTACTGAAGATGCTCTCAGGGTTTGAGAAGTCTTAGCCCTTGGATTACAACTGTCAAACATAAAGCTACACTGGAATACCCCTGTCTCTGGATAGGGATGCAGATGGTTCTCTCCAGAACTTCCACGCTTGGGTTCTGGGTGCTGAGCTGTAAAAGCATAAGAGACTTTCCCAGAAAACCGTGCCGACCAAGCCCTAAAGAAACTGTGACTGAGAAGTTCCCAAAGCCTTTCTTTTTAATTTGTCTTTACTTCTGAGCAACCTGAGAGGATTGGTCCTGTGCCAGTGAGATGACAATGTGATGGATGTGTTCCTTAAACGAAGGCAAGGTGGAAAGGGAGAAGGTGTTTTCTCTGGGATGCATGTGGACCAGTGGATTTCCGTGGCAGCACATGTTGCCTGTTCATGTCCCAACAGTTGCTGTGAACCTGTGTATATTCCAGTGCACAGGTTATGTTAAACAGATGATTAGATGTAAAATGTCCTTTTTTTAAATGGTGCAATATTTTCTGGGGTTTGTATATATATAAATAGTTCCATTTAATTAAAAAAATCTCCACATACAAAGTTAACCCATTGCCTGGTTTGTCTTGGTTGCTGCCAAAGGACCAAAACCACTGGGTGTTGCAATATGGTCTCAGAGTTTTGTCTCATTTGCTTTGGGACTCATGTTGAAACTTGAAATTCTTTCTCTAGCTGGACAAAAGAAAGACATTGTGCCATCAGACACGATAGGATGTTAACTCATTGTTGGTTAGACTGTAAGCACCCCAAGGCAGGGATGGCTGTTCATTCCAAACAGCACTTTGTACCACGGTACCTTGATCGTGGTCAGGTCCTGGGTGCTGGCATAATAAACATGTTTTTTAATGATGCTCACACACTTCGTTTCCTTCAATACCATGGCTTAGTGCCCAGCAAGAAAGAGCTCTCAGGGCTGGTGGTTGTGACTGACCAGGCACTTGGATATTCCTGGTTGTTTCCTTTGTGTGAAATTCACTTGTTGTTCAGCAGATTTCAAGGTGTGATAGTGCTGCTGTCCAAAGCCAGGAGGGAAAAAACAGGGAGAGGGGATTAATTCCAGAAATTGGAGCCTGCTAGCACTGAAGGAGACCTCGCTTTCTCTTCCCTAGAGGATAGGGAGGGCTTACTGTGTTCAAGTCTTTTCTCAGCTAGGCATACACTCTGGAGTTTTAAAGTCACTCACACCTTCTACTTTCAGTGCTTCCCTGAGGGAGGCTTTTTCCACATGCAGGTGCATCCCACTGCCAGGAAACTGCCTCTGATCCTTGGTGGAATGTTTCTGTGCCTGATTTCATTTCTCCTAGCGATGCTGAAGAAATTGATCTCTCAATTTACATGGAGATGCCTTGTCTTTACAATAAGGATTTTCATAGCCTCTAACTCCTAATCTTTGGCTTCATTCCAACTTTGGCAGAACAAAATCCCTTCCCCAAAATTATTCAAGTAGGCTCTTTCTGTATATGAAACTACATGGGGTGAGATGAGGACCTCACGACAGTGTGTGGGCTGGCAGAGGATTGAGTAGAGTATGTTTTGCCTTCCCTAAGGTAAGTTCATTTGGGGCTTTTTATATATCAAACTGCAAATGCTTCACTCATGGAGCAGTGCTGTGGGGAGAGATAGTGGGGTTGGTGACGGCTGACCAGCAAATTGGGTTGATATTGGGTTGAACTTAAACAGGGAAAGTTCAGGTTGGATATAAGGAAGAAGTTCTTTACAGTGAGGGTGCTGAGGCTCTGGCACAGGATGCGCAAAGAAGGTGTGAATGCTCCATCCCTAGGAGTGTTCAAGGCCAGGTTGGACAGAGCCTTGGGTGACATGGTTTAGTGTGAGGTGTCCTTGCCCATGGCAGCGGATTGGAACTAGATGATCTTAATGTCCTTTCCAACCCAAACCATTCTATGATTCTATATACTCAGTGTTCTTGATATCATTTTCATATTAAAACCACATCCTTTCCATACTGCTGTCTCTCCTGTCTTAAATCTAGGTTCTGTCCTTGGTTTTTTCTTTTCCCTGAAGGCTTCTGGATCTTTTTCCCCTCCAAACAACCAGAAATCAACCGGTTTACCACTCTCAGCCCCATTTTCCTCTCCCAGCTTTTTGTTCAGAGCTGCTCTCTGGCGAGGAGAACAAACAGCTGCCTCTGTTGTCTGGGCCTTGGATGGCCAACAGGTCTCCCCTGTGGACAGCACGATGAGCAATGCTCCTATCAGTGGCTGACAAAAGGAGGGGAGAAGCAAAGGGGGCTGGCTGGCAGGCACTGCAGCAGAGACACATTTCTCCTGCTGCTGCCAACACTGGAGAACACTGTAAGTCTTTGATTGGCAGCCCAAAATCTACCCTGAGCTTGGGGTTTTCGTGTCCCTCAAACTCTCCTCGTGCCAGCAGTGTTGCTGTGCAGAGGGGTGGAAGGAGAGGCAGGAGTCAGAGGTGTTTCCAGTCCTCCTGGCTGTGTTTTGCCATGGTCAGTGATTTGTTTTGCTCAGCTGGCTTTTGATGATGAGGCTTGTGCCATGCAGATCTGAGCCTTCCCCCCATGGGGAATTGGGCCTGAGGGTTGGAGGGAAGGGGGCGGGGAAGAAATAGGATTGTGGGGTTCATCTGGGAAGTAAATGAGCTACAAGAGTGAGTCCTAGTCCCTGGGTTTCTCTTCCCTGTCCTCTCCAGAACTGCAGCTCCCTCCCCCTTGCAGTGCCCTTCTTCCACCAGTGACATGGACCATGCTACTGCTCTTTCTCACAGGGGTGAAGGGATGCTCTTGAGACCTTGATGTGAACAGTGCTTGAAATACAAAGGTGTTTTGTTACAGGAAAGCTAATGTTGGTGAAAGGAACTGCTTTTTGTGTCCTGAACAATGAAATCCCATTTTATACGGAAGCAAGACCATGCAAAAAGGCCTTTTGTTCACCTGCATCCCTCTCCCCATCATAAATGGGGCAAGGCGGGAGGAATTGGGATCTCTGTGACCTATTCAGTTGTTTAGTCTCGCTCCTGATCTTCAGACAAAGAGCTGACAGTGGATTTGGGCGTGCTCCTTCCCCTCCCCTGGGACCAGCAAAGCCTTTGCTGCTTTTGTGTACGGCTGCTAAATCACTGCCCCGTAGGGAGCTGCTGTCTGCTGCCTTAAGCCCAGAGTTAGTGTCTTAGCCCTGAAAAGCTCCCTCTCAAGCCATCCTTTCCATACCTTCAGATTGAGCAAGTTGTCTGCACAAGATACATGTTCCCAGTTTAAAATGAAACCAATTTGATGCCTTGTGTATCTTCGTTCATAACATAGAGTAGCTTCCTTTGGTTTGGGGCTGAGTGGCATCTATTTGGTCCTGCCCATGCAGTATAACAGCAGCTGTCCTCAGCTGTGCAAACCTTAAACTTGATAACTCCCCTGATACACTTTTCCCCAACACTCCTGAGGTTCTGTGCATTAATTAGAGCATCCCTAATGCTAATAAGCCACGGGGAATAAATGCCTCTCAGTACATTAATCATAGAAGAGTTAGGGTTGGGAAGGACCTTAAGATCATCTAGTTCCAACCTCACAGCCCAGAAAGTCAACTGTGGACTGGGCTGCATCAAAAGGAGCGTGACCAGCAGGCTGAAGGAGGTGATTCTGCCCCTCTACTGTGCTCTGTGTGAGACCCCACTTACAGCACTTTGTGCACTTTGGTGGCCTCAACATAAAAGGGACTTGAAGCTGTTGGAGCAAGTCCAGAGGAGGCCACAAGGATGAGCACCTCCTGAATGGAGACAGGCTGAGAACATTGGGGCTGTTCAGCCTGGAGAAGAGAAGCTGGCGGAAACCTCAGAGAAGCTTCCAGTGTCTGAAGGGGGTTATAAGGATGCTGGAGAAGGACTCTTCATCAGGGACTGTAGTGACAGGACAAGGGGTGATGGGTTCAAACTGAAACAGGGGATTTAGGTTAGATAAAAGGAAGTTCTTTACTGTGAGGGTGGTGAGGCAATATGGAAAGTAGTTTGAGTATTGCTTAGATGTAGATCTTTGTGATAGGAACGGAATTACTGAGTTCTGAGGAGCAACTATGGGTAGTTAGGTGTGTGCTGGCTCAGTAAGGCAGAGCCTAAGTCACGCTGGCTGACAGTGCAGAGCCAGTGGCTGACGTGACCGAGAGAATTCCCCCATTCAAAACCCATTTGCTTTGATAATTAGGAAAGTTTGCATGGGAAATTATGCAAACGATATGGAAAGCAAAGAACTTTCCTGCTTTGTGTCTGCTTGTCTCTGAAGCAGAGGCTTGCAGCCTGGCTGCATCTTGGTCTAGGGAAGGGATGCGGTGAGCATCGCTTGGTGTGTCATGGCTGGTCCAAGAGGACATAGTCCAGCTAGGAAACAAGACATGGGAATGATCTAGAGATGCTTTTCTGGCTTCAACAGATTTCTGCTGGCAAACCTTCCTGCAGTCATTTAAGATACTCTCCCAGCTGACAGAGGTCACCATCTCTCTAGCACAGGCAGCAGAGGAGACAAAAGCTCACTCCAGTTTATCACAGTCAAGTTCAGGCACTGGGAAAATGCTCTCTTCTGACTCCTAAAGACTTTGGCTTCTTGCTCCAAAGCACGAGTACTTGAATTTCTTCCAAAACAGCTATGTTTTGAAGTTGGTTTATGTCATTCCTGGTCTAACCAGTTCTTCCTGATGCTTATAGATGCTGGACAGCTTTGAGTTCTGTCCAAGCACTTGGCATGTTGGCATCTTTTAGGCACTGAGTTCAGCAAAGTTTAGTGGGATGGAGGCTCTGCAAACTCTCCCCTGCTCAACACTTTCCCAAAGAAACAAGGGAGAAAGGAGAATGTGGCTGAGCAGCCAAGGGCAAATTCACCTGCAAGAGATGGAGCCTGGAAGAAGCAAGCTCTGCAGCCCTCTGCCAGGGGAGAAAGAAATGATGCAACTTCCAGCAGATCTTGCTGAGCTGCTCCTAAACATAACCAGGCCCTTGATGCCAGCAAGGGCTGGGGCAGCTGCTCCCAGGGGCTTTGCCTGTCTGCAGCTTGTGCTGTTTTGCTCTCGAAGGTAAAGGCTGCAGCTCTGTGCCTGTTCTCATCTCCCCTGCCCAGCTCCAGTGGATCTGGTGCTGGAGGAGAGCCCTGGAAAAGATCCAGCTGGACACTGGAACCACCTTTCCTGTTGTGCTTAAAGGGAAGTAATTCACTACCTGGTGCTGGCTCTTTGGGCTGCAGTGTGCCAAGGCAGGGACCTCTGCCTCCCTTTCGTCCCAATGCTCCATGATTGACCTCCAAAAGCACCCTTTGCCCCGTGAGAAGTCCTATCCTTACCAACAACCCCATGGAGCTTCCACCCATGCCTCCAGTGCTCAGATTACCCCAAACCTCCAGCTACATCAAAGCCAGACAAGAGTTTTTGGGCAGTCCCTGGCTCCTCTAGCTGAGGAGGGCAGCTGGCACATGCTGTCTCTGTCATAGAGCCCCCAGGCATCTCACTGAGACACACACGCACGCTCCCCCCTTCATGCACACACATAATTTGCAGGCATCAATTTCCTCTCCTGTCTCCCCACACAACTCA